TTATATTTATAAAGTTTATTTTTTCAGAAAATCAAAGTAATTGCTCCAACAACACTAACAGGTCTAGCATGCAGCAAACCGTCTTTTAGCAACTTTTTAATCTTTTTAACATGGATCTTTTTAACATGGATTCATATTTTATTTTCATTTATGTAAAGTTTCCATAAGAAGCTTGCAAAGATAATAAAGGTAAGTATTTTGTTACAGGTACTTCAAATAGCACTACAGTACATTTTTGACAAAATTTTTATACAATATACCAACTTTCAATATGAAACAGCTTAAAAAGGCATGGGCCAAAAAAAAAGTATAATAGTATCATTTAGGCAAATAAAGTCTCAGAGTCATACAAGCACAACACTCAGAACGCTCCCTGTGTGAGTTGCAAAAGGAGTACATAAAATATTTTCAAGTAAAATTTTATAATAACTTAGGGAAATACAAAAGTCCATGACTTTGGGCATTCTAACAAAGTAACTCTTGAACTTTTTATTCTAAGAGAATAATGAACTAGTTACTCCTTGTTTTATGTAAATAGATGTGTTCTTGAGGTTTTGGGTAAAGCAAATTTTGTAAATCATATCTCGTTTACACTGGAGAAACATATTTCAAACAAAGTGTTCTCTAAAGCATGTAATTCTCTTCTGCTTCAGCTGGATAACTCTCCTTAAAATGTAAGCAAATTTACATATCATTGAGTATTTTACTCATACTGTCATATTACATCTCTATAAATTGAACTCATTACCTAAAACTTACTTGTAAAATTTTTTAAGCCAACAAAACCCTCAACCCCCTATGACAGATTTTAGAATACAATGCAAACTTACAATTATTTATTAATCCACATTCTCAATAGTTTCTCACCATACTTAAATGTGCTAAGGTAGATACTCATTTGCATTTCTTTACATCTTTGAAACACAATGGTTCACTCCTTTTATTGCTACAAAATGTCATTCCTAAATATTTTACAAATAATGCCAAATATGAAGAACAATGTATGAAATATGTCCCTCAGTTTAGAATTACCTTTCCCAAATTATTGCAATTTTGTCTTGATGTAATACTTTCAACTCTGTAGAATCTTATTTCTAAACAGAAATGATTATCTTACTAAGTAAAATTTTAAAAAGATCAAAGTAACATTCTTTAGTATTAGCATATTCCAGAACCATAAAGGAATAAAAACAAAAACTACATATAGTCATTGACAACTGATCAAGCTTAGATCAACCTTAACTTGAAAGACCACTGAAAGAGGCATTCAGTCTTACTACAGTAAATTTCTTATGGAAACAGTCTTCAAGCTGAGTCTTGTTCATGACTATTAGTGTCAAATAAGTCAATGAACTGCCCTCATCCTTCCAAAAAGATAAAACTGGGCCAGGGAGATGGCTCAGTGGAATAAGCACTCCCCTGGCAAGTGCAAGGGCCCGAGTTCAATCCCAGGTTCTGAAAAAAAAAAAAGATAAAACTGCATATATAAGATTATGACACTTGAAAAATATTCCTGGTAAGCAAACCTAACTATGAAGGTGCACCTTAGTGTTTTTTAAATTCTTTTGAGGAAATCAATAGCACCCTGGATGAAAAATAAAATCATTACCTAAGCAACCAAAGGAGGAAAAATTACTACATAATTCTAGAATGATTTTGAAAAGACCAATGGAAATGCTATTAACTTTCCATTCATGTTCATATTTTTTTTAATTGCAAGAAAAGTTTAACAATAAAATTTGAGCCATACTGGACAGATTATGCTTTAATGTAAAATAAATGAACTATAAATGCTATTTGCTGTAGCTAAAGGGCAACTTTTTTCCTGTGCTTTACGTATATCTAGAGATGTCACAGCTGAAGAATTGATTCCTTTTAAGAATGTGTCTTTACTGCTTGTATAGATTCATGGATTTATAATTTCCAATATAGTTATAGTAATGTTTAGTTTACAGCATCTAACTATGTTCTTCCATCCAAAGATTTGGCTGCTCCTAAAACACTGTATTAATTTCCTTTTTATATATCACCTCAGGACAAGCAATTCCCCACAAAATTAAATAATCTAATGCAGGCCTTTTGACAAAAACCTTTAAATGATACAAGACTACCCAGACACTGCCAATGTTAGTGGTTTTGACAGTTACACGACTGAATCTAATACAACCACCTTGTTTTGTGGTTGTTCTTTAAAGTGAGTCAGTTGATGCCTCTTCCAGTGAGGAGCCTGTCTGAATGTTTTCCCACAAACTGAGCATTCAAATGGTTTCTGACCTGCATGGATTAGATAGTGTCTTTCCAGTTTAGATGGAGATCGGAAACTTTTACAGCAAACGCTACATTGGTAAAGGAGGCCATCACTTCTCTCAGGATCCCCTGAATAACTAAAACAATGATGACTCTGATCTGATTCCAAAAGTGCATTAGTGAGAATGGGCTGCCGATTCCTATAGTACGTACCAAGAATAAAATCCTCAGCTTCTGTCTTAACTTCTATTTCTGATGTTTGATCTGACTCTGAAACCTCATATTTTTGAAAACTAAGAGCTTGACATTGTTGGGAAGCATTATAGTTAGAACTATCACTTGGATGAATGCAAAGTTTGTTCACATTTTCAAATTCGGCTTCGCAAAAAGATCTTCTATAAGGAATCTTTTCAGTATGAGTTAGTTTATGTCTTTTTAAGTGAGCTGACTGTCTAAAAGATTTCCCACAAACATTACAGCCAAAAGGCCTTTGTCCGGTATGAATTAAATAGTGTCTTTGTAGTTTGGATATAGAAGGAAATACTTTCTCACATTTATCGCAGGGACACATTTTCTGTCCACTATGTATGTTTTCACTTGGAACTGAAAAATCACACTGAAGCAATTCACAGTCATTTAAGAAGTCCTCGGTGGATGAACCATAAATTGACAAGTCTTTATTATTCATTGAGCTATCTACAGTTAATATGCTTTCTGCTGTAAGGATACCTTTCAAATTTTTTCCTATATTTTGGATCTGAAACTGTTTTTGCCAAGAAAATGGCAAAGTCAATGTTTTCTTTTTTTTATTGCTAACTGTCTTATATGTTCCATGTTTGCCGAGAGAACCCATAAATCTTCTCTTAGTTTGTTCGGAGTTCTGCTCACTAGAAGTAAGATCACAAGTTTTCAAGAAATTATGTTTATATGGTATTTTTTCTGATCGAAAGTTATCTAATTTTTTGCTCCCAGCACGCTTAAGCTTGGCCAAGATCTTTTTAACAATGGTTTTATAGTTGTAGCTTCTTTTCAGTCTGCTTGGAATTTTGCCTCCTTTGGCAGGACAACACTTGTGTCCATTGAGAATCTCCTCTGATTCAAAACATTCTTCACACTCTGAACACTGAAAAGGGACAATATAAATGGAGTGGACATCAAGTGGGTTACTCTCCTCAGATTTATCTATATCACCATTTTCAAAACCATCTTGCTTTGCATTTAATTTATTAGGCAAAGGGCATGATTCTGGACTCTTCACCTTTACTGAAAAAGACTGAAAAGTCTTATTCCTAGTATGGATTTGTTTATGCTTCAGAAGTTTGCTTTGAATCTTAAATCCTTTTTGACAAAAACAACATTGAAAAGGTCTTTCTTCTGAATGTGTGAGTTGGTGAATTTTTAAATGAGTTGACTGTCGGAAAGATTTACTGCACAGGACACATTTAAAAGGCCTCTGGCCAGTGTGAATAAGTGCATGCCTGTCGAGCTTTGACTGTGATGGAAACATCTTGCCACAGATTGTACATGCATGAATGTTCTTTCTCTTCGTGGTGCCATACGTGGGATCAGACTTTGGGCACGGGTGTAATGCCCATCTCTCCTCTGTAGTAAAAGTGTTATACACTCCATGCACTGGCTTCTCTTGCTTGGCCTCCAGCAATCTTCTAACTTGCTTAACATCATTCTGATAGGTTTCATTGTGAAACTGCTGGTGTTTCACAAAGGTCTTCAGATTTTTAAAGTGGCGTTGACAAATACTACATTTAAAAGGCAGATTATGAGTTAGCTGATGCCTCTCCAGATGAACTAGTTGTCTAAAGGTTTTATGACATACATCACATTCAAATGGTTTTTGACCAGTATGAATGAGATAATGCCTAGCTAATTTTGACGGTGTTTCAAAGTGCTTAAAGCAAATATTGCAAATATATGGCCTATTTCTAGGTAGTTTGCCAGCTACTACCCGCTGCTGAATCTTTAACATTTTAAAATTGTGTTCAGCCATCATATTCTCCAGTGATTCACTTTGATGAGCTCCATATTGACTTTAAATTCCAGACATATCTAAAAGTTAAAAAGAAACATTAATTTACAAATTATTCATATGAAAAGAAATTAAACTGTCCGTTGGTTGAAGATATTTAAACTTAATGGAGACTGGATATATTTTGTGTTTACAAGTAAATTAACAAGGGCTGGGGAGATGGCTCAGTAGAATTAGCACTTCTCTGGCAAGTGCAAGGGCCTGAGTTCAATGCCCAGTTCCGCAAAAAAAAAAAAAAAAAAAAAAGTAAATTAACAATCATTTTAGATCAATTCATTAGAACCATGACATTAATTTCATACAGAAAGAGGTATGACCAGTATAGCAGACAGCTAAAACTCTTGTAATTTTAAGCAATCTTTCTACCTGAAAAGCTACATTAAAGGGCACTGAGTTGAATTTCATAACATGAAGGCTTGTTTTTTTTT